AGTTAACTCTGTTTTTTCCTTCACAGATGCTGCCAGACCTGCTGAGCCTCTCCAGCAATTTTGTTTTGGACCTCATAGAATATGAGTTCCCTGATTGCGGCTGTTAACCTGGTCCCATTAGGGAGCACTGGGTGACAAATATAAACAGGAGTGTCAGAGGTCCTGCTCACTCTGAGAGGTGGCTCTGATGAAGCTGGAACAGCGTCAAGTATTATGCACGTGTAAATAAAGGGTGACTTGGTGAGGGGACACCATCCTCTGTGCAATTTTTTCACTCGTTAATTAAAATAACAATGCTGGGCCACGTGATGTGTTGTAATTGCACAGTGGTTCATTGCACCATTCTGGTTCATAGTGACCACGTCTATAGTAAATGTTGGTTTCTTGAACTCCAGCTGAGAGTTAATAAGCTAGAGTCTGAGCTTTGAACACAGCACCATATCAGTGAGGGGGAGAATTACGTGGATATTTCAGGAAAAACCGAAAGAACTGCGGATGCTGTAAGTTCTTAGGAAGGGTCACTGGACCCGAAACGTTAACTCTGTTTTTTCCTTCACAGATGCTGCCAGACCTGCTGAGCTTTTCTAGCAACTTTGTTTTTGTTACTGTATTTCAGGAGGCAGTCACAACCCCCTTTACTTCAGTCAGTGGCCAGGGACAGGAGGATGTGACTATGAGCAAGGCAGATAGAGGGATCCAGAGGGTAGTGCTAAAGGAGCTTCTGCCCTTGAACTTAGCTAACAGGTTTGAGATTCTTGCTCCCTGTTGGGGCTGTAGGGAGAATGAGCAAACAGATCATGGTACAGGGAGCCATTCAAGTGGGGAACAAAGAGAAATATAGTTATAATTGGGGATAGTACAGTCAGAGGAGTAGACACAGTTCTCTGTGGCCAGGATCAACAGTCCTGATGGCTGTGCTGGCTGCCTATTGCCTGGATTCAGGATATCCCATCTGGGTTGGAGAGGAACTTGGGATGGGAGGAGAAAGATCCAGTTGTCATGGTCCATGTAGGTATCAAATATATAGATAGAAAGCGGAAAGAAGTTCTGCTGAGGGAATAGGAGCAGTTAGGGGCTAAATTAGAAAGTAGAAATGAATGCTAACAATCCATTTGCCTTCTTAACTGCCAACTGAACATGCATGTTAAGCTTAAGAGAATAGTGAAATAGGACTCCCAAGTTCTTTTGTGCTTCAGATTTCTGAAGCCTTTCCCAATTTAGAAAATAGTCTACGCATCTATTCTTCCTACCAAAGTGCATAACCTCACACTTTCCCACATTGTCTTCCATCTGCCACTTCTTTGCCAACTCTCCTAGCTTGTCCAAGTCGTTCTGCAGTCTACATGCTCCCTCAACATTACCTGTCCTTCCACCTATCTTTGTGTCATCTGCAAACTTAGCAACAATGCCCTCAGTTCGTTCATCCAGATTGTTTTCCTGGTTTCCTCCTCACAGCTGGAAATAGAGCTGAGAATCTCTGGCACTGTGGTCATTCTTGTAAAGGTCCATGGGTGTCACTACTACCTGCATGGAAGAAGGGAGCGAAGTCGTTGTCTAAGCTGAATTGAAGCTTGTGCAGAAGAAGAATGAGTTAGCACTGTTGGTAACAGGAGAGTTGCGCAATGAGGCTTACTGAGGTTGTTACCCATTAGTGTCTCTTTGTCACCACATGCCCAGCCCCCACCCAGCTATTATGTATTAGATCTGCTCCCCCCACCCCACCTTGGCCAATCTTGGCCTTTTCAGCCCAGTCATGGGACAGTTTATCTGAAATGAGGCAAAGGGATGGATAGATTATAATGGAAATGGATACAAAAGTAATTAGTGAAGCAGTTGAAAGGATATAGGAATAGAAATAGTTTGTAGCTCTAGTGGATAAGATGGGTAAGATGCAATGGATTATAGTCCATTACTCTTGCTGAGATGCATGTGCAGCAGCGGAGTTAGAGGAAGTAATAGCCATTGGACTATAAAGTAGCCGGGAGAAGATGGTGATACTTAACCTTATGGAGCACAGAAGATCAGAAACGTTGTTTCTGCACTGCTAGGAGTCACACTTCACACAGGATACTGCACTGAGCTGTGCTGTAATTTAGGTCAAGGCTGACTGGGTCTGGTGGCAGTCTGCAGGGAAGAGGATTGACCTCCTCTCTGCCATCTTGTCCACGGCACCCCGAGATCTTTGCCTGTGAAGCAAGGAGCAAGCTTGCCTTTGTTCTGGAGCATCTTTTGTGGCCAGGGTCAAGACCATTGTAGTTTGTAGGTTGTTACTGGCCTGCAGATAGGCTTTAAATACGGCACCAGAAGCATTGAAAGTCGAAAGCTCCTAGTAGTGGTGACAATTTCCATTTCACTTGTCATTGGATTCCCTAGGATACTTGCCCAACATGTCAGTTACATAATTAAGTAAAAAGCAGAAGATTGCTTGAGAAAATAGGCCCCTGGCTATGGCAGAGTTGATGCCATGTGTACTGACTGGAATAATGGCCAGATGAATCTCATTGACTATAAGATCCTTGTTTGGGGTTGTTAACTTGGGCCAATCAGGGAGCCCTGGCTGACAGATATAAACAGGAGATTCAGAGAGTCTCCTCATTTTAGGGACTGGCTCTGAGCTGGCTGGTCAGAAACCATGTACCATGTACTGTGTACTTGTAAATAAAAGGTGACTTGGTGATGGGATAACAGGTTTTGTGCAGTTATTACACCGTGAAATTCATTCCCCACCATTCATGAACTGCAAATGGGAAGATTCCAGCCATAAATAATGCTTGACCTGAGTTTTTCCAACCATCTTGGTTCTTCATTTTGGTCCTAATATCTCTTTATGTGGCTCAGTTAAATTTTCTTTGATAATGATCCAGTGAAAAACCTTGGTAGCACTATACAGTAAAAGTAGTTGGTGTTGCAGTTTCTTTCCCTGATGTTTTTAAAATTGATTTTGTTTTGCTTTTACTGTCATTAGGAAATTTGGGTGATGGAAGAGAATAAATACCCGCAGATTCTGAGTTCTTAGGAAGGTCACATGACCTGAAATGTTAACTCTGATTTTTTCCACTAATGCTGCCAAACCAGCAAAGCTTTTCCAGCAATTTCTGTTTTTGTCTCTGATTTACAGCTTCCACATTTCTTTTGGTTTTTACCCGCAGATTATGTTGCATCAATAGAAACAACTTTTGATGAACCAATATGTGTACACCACCAAAATTCAGAAAATAATGTAAAGTTTTTTTTCACATTCTCATGTGGTTTTTCAGCTGTAGGAGTATTGGGTATATGTATACCATTACAATGAATTCAGAAAGGTCAGTATTGGAGAACAGAAACAGCTTTTCTAACAAAACCAACTCTGCCATCGCTACAAGGCAACCACCTCGAATCCTTGTTGTGGATGTGACACCTCCTTATTGGTCAGAAGTTCGTATTAATCTCTGCGAAGCCCTGGAAAATTTCTTTGCTTTAGCTTGCAGTTTGGGAGGGCCGCCTCGTCTTCCTCTCTTCAGTCTATATGTGGCTCACACCCAACAGGAATGTCTTCTTCCTTTTGTGGTATGTAGAAATAGCAAACCCAGGCAATGCAGCTGGCTATCATTCAGTTACTTGTCATGTAATTATTCTGAAATTGTAACTATGTTTGAATTTAAAGTTCACAAGCCGACACATTAACTATAATATGCATTTTGTGTCAAGTTATTAGCCAGATGATAATATATTTCGTTACAAAAAACTATTATTTCCAGTTGGTCAGAGGCCAGAGCAATTCATGCAAACCACAAAATCTGGCTGTACTCTTCAGATGGAAACACAAACAAACACTGAGCTTCAAGGATTTTGAAGTGGAATTTATTGGATGTTTCTAAAGAATATCTTCTCTAACTGTCAGTTTGTTGCATTTGAAGTATGATAAGTTTTTTTTCCGTGAAGTTGGTTGAGAAACATTATTAAGAGTGAATGCGCGACTGTAGCAGTATGGCAGGGCATGAAATATCAAAAAAAGAATGATTGCACTGCAGTAACAATAGTATTCAATTAAGATTTTGAATATTTAACTTGCCAAGCATTCTAACATTGATTGATTTTCCATTTCTTTTGCCAGAAGGATGGCAGTAAATTTTAAGTAAATTTAAGCTGCTATTTTTAAGCCCCATTAACCATTTTAGGTGTGGCTTTGCTAGTAACTCTCATGTTCTCTGGCAAAGAAACATCTAAAAAGTAAGAGAAACTCTAAATGACGTACAAGAATAACAAGAATTTTATCCTGGACAGTCAGGTTATGTCATTTGCATTTAACTGCATATTTCTTTAATAAGTACTTTTTTTTGTGCTGCAGCAAATGAAAGGAAACTTTTCCAGGCTCCACTCTTGTGTGGCTGAACTGAGGTCAATGCCAAATGAAGGTTGTATACGTGAAAAGTCAAGCTCTTTAAAGCATGCTGTGGAGGATAGCCTTTTACAGTTTAAACAGTACATGAGGCATGTGACAGTGGGAGGATCACTTAATAGCTGTTCAGTGGAGGTAATGAACGTTTACATTTGCTATAAATGATTTTTATTACCCCACAGCCGGTTGCTATCCCACTTCAGTTGCATAATTTGTTAAAAGACAATGCTGGCATTTTAAAATTTTCTAATTTATATTATCAGTAAACTTTCTCAAGAGATTAATCAGGGTGAGTCAAATGATTTGTGTTTTATAACAATAAGAGTGCTCATGCCATTCAGGGTATAACATCAGAGTGACAGATCTACAGCAACTGAATATCAATAAATCATGGTAGCTCAGTGGCTAGCACTGCTTTCTCACAGCAAAAGGGACCCAGGTTCAATTCCACCTGCAGATAACTGTCTGTGTAGAGGTTGTACATTCTCCCCATGTCTGTGTTTACTCCCATGGCCTAAAGATGTACAGGATAGTTGGATTCACTGTACTAAATTGCCCTGTAGTGTACAGGCTAGGTGATTAGCCATGAGAAATGCAAGGTTATAGGGTGGAATGCTCTGTGTGGACTAAAGGGCCTGTTTCCACACTATATGGATTCTGTAAAATTCCATTTTTAGTGAATGATATGCTGGGACATTCCCCAGTTGTTTGAGGAATTGGATTGCCTAGCTCTGTTAATTATTCTGTAATGTTGAGGTGCCGGTGTTGGACTGGGGTGGACAAGGTCAGACATCACACAACACCAGGTTGTAGTCCAACAGGTTTATTTGAAATCACAAGCTCTTGGAGTGCTGCTGCTTCATCAAGTGAACTGAAGAAAAACATACAGGCACAGAATTTATAGGCAGAGAGATCAAAAGATCATACAACTGGTGTGAGCAGAGTGTCAAATAATAAGAATCTGCAGGTGATCAAAAGTGTCAGACAATGTGAGTAAAGTGTCGATGGCTGAATAGTAAATGAAGGGGATAACCTATAATCCAATTAATTGAGACAGGGAGATAATTACAAAAAGGTAAAAGTAAGATGGAGCTGGAGACAAACCAAACGGCTGGAATAACATGAAAGGTATAAGAGTCGCATGCTGAGGTGCTAACCAAAGTAACAAATAATCCAAAACTGTACAAACTAATTAAGGTAGATAGATCATAACAAGTTATCAAGGTGATTGTGTTAAAACATGAGCGCAAGGAAGATTTTGCAAATACAGAATAGTATGGTGGGGTTACATATAGTGCGACATGAACCCAAAATCACGGTTGAGACCGTCTTTGTGGGTATAGAACTTGGCTATCACTTTCTGCTCGGCAATTCTGCATTGTTGTGTATCTTACCTGCTTACCTGAAGATCGGAGGCTGAAGGTCCTTGACCACTGAAGTATTCCCCCACTGGAAGGGAACATTCCTGTCCGGTGATGGTTGCCCACTGTCTATTCGTCTATTGCCGTAGCATCTGCATGGTCTCGCCAATATACCATGCCTTGGGGCATCTTTCCCTGCAGCATATGAGGTAGATAACAATGGCCAAGTCACATGAGTATCTGCTATGTATGTGGTGGATGGTGTTACCAAGTGTGATGGTAGTACCCGTGTCGATGATCTGGCATGTCTTACAGACATTGCCATGGCAGGGTTGTGTGGTGTTGTGGTCGATGTTGTCCTGAAGGCTGGGTAGTTTGCTGCAAACTCTGTTTAACGTCTGGCAGTTGTTTGAAGGTGAGAAGTGGGGATGTAGGGATGATTTTGATGACATGTTCGTCGTCGTTGATGACATGTTTAATGTTGTGAAGAACATGGTGTAGTTTCTCCGCTTTGTGGAAGTACTGGATAACCAATGGTACTCTATCGATTGTGTCCTGTGTCTGTCTTCTGAAGAGGCCATTGCGGTTTTTCACTGTGGCATGTCGGAACTGATGATTGATGAGTTGAGCATTGTAACCTGTTCTTCAGCATCTTTAGGTGCCCGTCGTGTTCCTCCTCATCTGAGCAGATCCTGTGTATATGCAGGGCTTGTCCGTAGTGGATGGCTTCTTTAACATGTTTAGGGTGGAAGCTAGAGAAGTGCAGCATCATGAAGTTATCTGTGGGCTTGCAGTAGACTGAGGTACTGCTGTGTCCATCCTTGATGGAGATGCGTGTGTTCAAGAATGAAAATGATTCAGCAGAGTAGTCCATGGCAAGTCTGATGGTGGGAAGAAATTTTTTTTATTCTTTCATGGAATGAGGGTGTCGTTGGCCAGGCCAGCATTTATTGGGCATCTCTAATCGCCCAGAGAACAGTTCAGAATCAACCACATTGCTGTGGGCCTGGAGTCACATGTAGGCCAGACCAGATAAGAATGGCAGTTTCCTTCCCTAAAGGACATTAGTGAACCAGATGGGTTTTTCCGACAATCGACAATGGGTTCATTGTCATCATCAGATTCTTAATTCCAGATATTTTATTGAATTCAAATTCTATCATCTGCCGTAGCAGGATTCAACCTAGTAGTTTGACTAGTGAGGAGGATGCAGAGATGCATCAGTACGACTTGGAGTGACTGGGCAAATGCACAGTGAATGAAATATAATGTGGATAAATGTGAGGCTAGCCACTTTGGTAGCAAAAACATGTAGACAGGTAATTATCTGAATGATGATAGATTGGGAACAGGGGAGGTGGAAGGAAACTTGGGTGTCCTTGTATACCAGTCATAGAAAGTAAGCATGTAGATGCATCAGGAAGTGAAAAAGGCTAATGGCATATAGAGCTGAAGGATCTGAGTACAGGAGCGGGATTGTCTTGCTGCAATTGTACAGGGCCTTGGTAAGATCACACCTGGAATATTATGCATAATTTTGGTCTCCTTACCTAAGGAAGATGTTCAGGCTATTGAGGAAGTGTAACTAAATTTTACCAGATTGATTCCCTCAATGGCAGGACAGATGTATGAAGAGAGACTGGATCAGTTAAGACTATGTTCACTGGATTTTAGATGAATGAGTTGGGATCTCACACCTATAAAATTCTAACACAACTAGACAGTGTAAAGACAAGAATATTCCCAATGAGTGGGGAGCCTAGAACCAGGGGTTACAGTTTAAGGATACAGGGAAAGCCATTTAGGCCTGAGATGAGGAGAAATTTCTTCATCCAGAGAGTGGTGAACCTGAGGAATTCTCTGCCACAGAAAGCGACTGAAGCCAAGTCAATGAAAGTTTTCAAGGAGTTAAACCTCGTTCTCAGGGCTAAAAGGATCAAAGGGTATGGAACTAAAATGGGAATAGGGTACTGAGTTGGATGAACAGTATGATTATGATGAATGGAAGATGATGGCCCAGTGATACTATCGCCAGACTATTAATCCAGAGACTCAGGTGTGAATCCTGCCATGGCACATGGTGGAAGTTGAATTAAATTTTAAAAAACCTGGAATTAAGAATCTACTGATGATCATGAAACCATTGTTGATTGTCGGAAAACCCCATCTAGTTCACTAATGTCCTTCAGTGAAGGAAATCTGCCACCCTCACCTGGTCTGGCCAACATGTGATTCCAGACTCATAGTAATGTGATTGACTCTCAATTATCCTCTGAATGGCCTAGCAAGCCATTTAGTTGTAACAA